AGTTGCAAAAGGCACAATATTTGGGGGATAATATATTGCAAGAGCATATTTTACATAAAAACCTTAGCTGGAATAAAAAAAGGCCATGCTCCTTTTGTTTCCAATTTTTTGAGAACATATATTTCCACACAGTACAACTGCCCGTTATTTGTAACTTAAGGAAAAGTTAAACAACGGTGGGTAGCAACCAATGGGGTAGGAACAGTACTGTGCTCCTGTTCTCTTCAAACTGCTAAAGAAAACTCTGGAAACTCCAGCACTTTCTCTGCGCTCTCAGAAAAAACATCAAGAAAAATGTATGCCTGAACATTTTGGTAACCATAACTTTCAGAAACGATTTTATTCTTGACACCAGAAACTGAATCCTGCCTAATTTCTAAACTAAATTTGAATGTTTAGTTACACATTTAGCGAACCACATCCACATAACCCTTCCAGGCAACCACATTTTGTAAAAGAGAGAAAGAAGATCGGAAAATCTTCTTTCTGATATCTCTGATACAAGATATCAGATTCTCAGATATCTTGTATCTGAGAATCTGAATGCAACAAAAAAAAACAGCTCTGTTAGGAGCATGATTACTTTAAATGCACAGACACATTTAACCCCCCGAAAAACAAGCACAAAAGACAAAGCAGACGTGACTCCAGGAAGAGCACAAAAACACCACAACCACAGCTACTGAGTGGATATCTCCATTTACATTCACAGATGTGAAAACTTCATCACAAGGCGGTAATTTTTACAGTTGTTTTCTGCCGCAAAATATAAATCACCTTGAAAAATATCCATGGACAAGACCTCCATCTGCTTGTTGTGCTAATAACACCTTACGTTTCAAGGAGATTATTAGTTGCTAGTTTCACATTCACTGGCCAACTTTCTGCTTCGTTACTTCTCAACGTATGCGTGTGACCTCTCTCACTCAGAGTGAGTCTGACCTCTGAGGCTCTTTCCTCACCATCTAACCGTGGAGGGACCCTGAAAATATCTAATTGTATTATTTTATTCTCTCTGCCTGGCGAGAAGAGACGGAGGCAGGCGAGGGATAAGAAGGGAGAGAACGACAGAGCTGAGAGTTTAGAGGCGACACGGGAGAAAAGGGAGGAGGTATAGAGGGGAAAAGAGGAAAACAGAATTGCTGTATTTTGGAAATCACAATCGAGAAACTACCAGATCCTGACACATTCTTTTCTAATAGTATTAATACATGCAATAACAGTCAAAAAAAATGTCATTTTTACATCGGAAGATGTCAGAAGTTCTTTTATGCGTCTTAAACAACAATTAGAGTAAGTTTTTGATCTTGAACCCCTTGTAATAAATTAGAAAATCTCCACACAAAAAGGAAATGTGTACCAAAACGTGGAAAATTAGGGTGTTACTCAGAGTAAAACAACTAGCAACTTCTTGATCTCAAGCTGCAGTTGTGAAACACAATGTTGGAGAAAAGCGAGCGAAACCACAAGGAACCCCACAGTCCCAAACCTACCTCACAAACACAGCTACTGGGGCACGGCCAGCACGAATAGCAACACTACAAACTGACACCGCAATACAATAAATCTGACCATTCAAAAAACTATTTTAAAAATCCACTAAAGATTTTATGTACGATTCCTTGTTTGGTACTGATTAAAATGTGAGCTATTGTGTGTTTTGTCAACCAACAAAGAGAACAAAAGTAAAACTAACTTGTACATTAACTTCCCCCCCCATTTTTTTTTTTTTTTTTGTCTTTATCCAGAATAATCTTCCTACAACTTTTTTAATTTAGCATATTACAACCAGAAAGTTTCAGGGAGACTTTCTTTTGGCTACTACATAATGTTTTGAACGCCTAATAACACATTAAGCAGCAGAGATGGCAAAGTTTTTCATGCTATTAAGATGCACATGAAAGTGTCCATTTTTAGATTTCTTTCTGTGCATTTCAGATGAATAAGTTCACAGCCAAAGATCCACCTTGATTGGCTATTCATTTTTAATCTATCTGAACTTGGCACCATTTGCAGTCAATAAACTTATCAGATGTACTTTTTTGAGTTGCAAATAAATTAATTATGATAAGTGTTGGAGTCAAAAGGTTTGACTCACATGTGGGGTTACCTATAATTTTGTTTAATTCACTAAATCTATCAGAGTTCAACTCCTCTTCTTCTCTTTTATGTAATAGTAAAATTTTTTTACAACAGAACTAGCCGGGTCTGATCACAGATGAGAAAATCTGTTTTTTGCAAGCCACACTTTGGATACTTTTTTAGACATCTAAAATAATAACCCAAAACATACTTTTTCTTCAAATAGTAAAATCTAACTGCATATGTTACAATGGAAAAAAAACACTGAAATTATTCATTAAAATACATTTTTTTAAATCATCCAAGCAAGTCCCATGATTTGATATTTTCTGCCGTCATATGAACCTTGAGTTTTTGGCTCAGTGTGCCTGTTTGTGTGCTTGAATGCTCTCCAAAGTAGCCGTGCTCTCGGTGAGACCGTTCAGCCTCAGTCGAAGAAAAAAAAAGAAAACAGACACAGCCAAGTTCCAGGTCCACACCAATTTTCTACAGTAATGCAGCTGGAAGGGGACTCGATATTTATTAACTGACTCATCAATACTATAAGTTTTCTAACTCTCTCCCTCTGTGCTTTAAAAAAGTTACCTCTCTGGCTTCTCAACCCCTGCAAGGCTCAGAGGCAAACAAACTCCACTCAGAGTAAAGTAGAGCGGACCGACTGTTTCAGAGCTGCAGCCTCCGTGAAAACCTGTTTCCTTCCCTCAGGCGAATTTCAATCTGAGAAACAGATGAGGCTCAGGAAACTATCTATTACTCAGGTTTTACTGGAGTTCAAAGAGAGCGGAGCATATAGATCAGAGCAATATCAGAATATTCTCTGCGCCTGTTTCTGGTAATGGCTCACATCTGAGATTAACAGTGGATTTATTTCAATCTCAATTTTTTCCCCCTTCATAGAAAGCAGGATACTTGTCAGCACATCTGGAAGGTATCAAGTTAACTAAGCAGCCTGTCAACTCAAAACTTTTCTCTTTTTTTCTAAAAAAAATAGCACAACCCAGTGAATGTGTGTCTATCAATGGTAGGCATCAAGATCTAACTCAAGATTGCGTTTACCTTCATTAAAGACAGTGCTCCATTAACAAACAGTCAGAGTAAGTCTGGCTATGGGCACCCAGACCACACCAGTCATGCTCCATGGTTTATCAAGCTGGGAATCTACACACCCGGCTAGGACTGGCCCCCCGACTCCAACCGGGAGCCTATACAGTCGCCCCTCCGTTTTTACACCCTGGCCGCTAATGGTTTCAAGCAATAAGTCATGTTTTCACAAACTTCAAACTCAACGTAAATAGTTGCTCAACAAATTCGTCGTGTGCTATTAATGACTTTGCTCACTAGGAGGGTTTTTTTTTTTTGGTCGACAAATAAAACACTAAGTGCTGGTGGCAGTTGAGTGAAAGGTCTCGGTAAACTCTGCCAGGCGGCGATCAGACTTAATAAGCCGGGGACAAGGCTGTACAGTGTGCTCCATGAGGGACTTTCGGAAGGAAATGCTGTCTGGACAAACAGTTTACAAGAGCTTGGACTATATGGAGCAACAAGGCTTCACGTCTGAGAAACTTTTTTGAAAGGTGCTTGATCTTATTCAACAACCTTTACAATTCTATTTTCTTATTATCAGCACACAGATGTTTTTTGTTTTGTTTTGTTTCTTTCTTTACTTTTTAGTGAAAGGTTGTTTTTTTCTGTCACTGTGCATCATCTTTAGATCAATGTTTTAAGAGTTTGTTTTAGAGCAACACATCAGGACATTTGGGCTTTAAGACAGCGGTCTAGTCTCTTCCTCTAATACATAAAGCATACATTATGACACAATTACACTAATTGCTTTGCAGATTTTTCAATAGGTCTAAAAACTAAGCTAAAACAAAAAAGTGCATTTTAACCTACAGCCTTTTTAATTATTCTTTAAAAAAAAAAACTATTTAAGCTTCAAAATAACACATCCAATAATTCTGTTTAATTTTCAACAGCACGTTGAACAGCAAGAGTTGTTCAACGTAATTACAAGGCACATTATTATGCATAGTTTCAAACAAAACAAAACAAAAAATAGAAACTGTATGTAATAATCTGAAAAACAATTACTCTAATCTGATTTGGCTTTTTCTTCTTAAAAGATCTTTTTACCACAATTCTCATAAACTATTTCAGGATAATGACCTAAATGTAGAAACAAAAGTTGAAAAGTTTGAACTTTATCAATTTAATACTACATAACATTTGACCTTTAGTTTGCTGATATTTTTGGTTTAAAAATTCAATTCAACTCTTAACAAAATTCAATTCAACTCTTATCACTGAGGGGACTAAAGTTTTAAATATTAAGGGATGAATTAAAATAGACTTTCTGGTTGTACAAGCACAAGTTTTGTAGAATGTGAAGAAGACTTTTACTAAATATTTCAAATCTACATGTAGAGTGCACCTCTGACCCGTGTGTTTCCACGACGGTCGAAAGTTTTAAGCATGATCATCAGACTGCGTCAGGACGCGAGGAAATACATGGTCTGCATCTATGGTTTAATCTGATATTGCTGCTCGAAACAGACGAAACAGAAACACCGGGAATAAAAGTAGAAAACATAAAAAGAATAGAATTTGTTTCTCCAGAACTACAGCTGACAAGTAGTAGAAATGTGCGTAGGTCTGGGGACCACTGGCAGTAGGGAAATAGGCCTTACTTTTCGGGTTATATCTCGAAAAACTCACGGCACAACTAAATGTATCCAAATATCTCTGAGGTGTACTTTCCTATCCTCAGCAGAAGTCGGTCTGTACCTACAGAATCTGGCTGCGCGGAATAAAGAGCGACGGTTCATTCAGAGCGGGGAGAGAGAGGGAGAGAGAGAAGGAGGGAAACATATCCCACTGTCAGCGGGGAAGCCTGCTCGACGCGCGGCTACAGCACTTACTTGGTGTTGGTCCGGTTCCAGAAGACGGCGTAGCGGTCGGCCACCACTTTGGATCCGGGCTCCTGGCTTAGAACACACATCAGCAGCACCAGGCAGACGAAGAGGACCATTTCCACTTGCAGCATCACTACAGCAAAACTTCGTTAGTCTATTCCGTCTCAGTGTCGATCGCTCGGTCGGATCAGATACGTGGAGCGGGTGGAGGGTGCAGGCAGGAGAAGCGGGGCGCCTGAACCGGGACAGGTGACCTGATCTAAGTCACATGTGGACCGGTGTTTCTGCTTCAGAGCTATCAACGTAATGCGAACAGCAAGAGAACCGAGCGAAAGAAAAGAGGCAAACGTGATCATTCAACGGGGAGGACGGATGAGGTGACACTTGTTCAGGATGACGGAAATATGAAGTTACAAAAAATTAAGGCGTCAACAGTCCCGATGAAAATATGTGCCTTTTTTTTTCCCTGCCGGTTTGTCAGGACGGAGGAATCCAGACAGAATGGGTCCCCCCCCACCCTCCCTCTGATGCACAAACAAGTGAGACCAGCGCAGAAAGCCACCAATGCGCAGCAGAACACTCGGTGTCTCCCGTGGCGCTGTACAGTGTCAACCCCCCCACTGCGCTTGCTGGGTGTAGCCTGTGTCAGGGCCAAAGTGACAACTGCTCAGCCCTTCACTCCAAAAGCAAAAGGCGCAGATTAGTCCGAGACGTGATGGAAAGAGGGGGGCTCAGTGTGGTCCAATGACGCTGTGAGGGCGCAAGTCAGATGTCCGTGTTATTATCCCGGCAACTTTCTGAAGCCATGCAGTCAGTCAGTGCGTGCCGGAGGAAAATGATGACTGACAGCGTTAGATCGCCGTGTAAAACAAACCCAAAACAAACAAAAAATGAAACACTGTCATCCTCTTCGCTGTGATCCGCCGGAGGTGTCACGGCCGAGGCGGGGAGGAGTCCGTCTCTGTGGCCGTGTTGTGTTTTTTGTCTCTCTCCCTCTCCCTCTCTCTCTTCTTCTTCTCGCTCTTTCTCTCTCTCTCCCTTCTGGAGACGCTTGTTTTTATCTCCGCATTCCAAAGTGTCCTCCTCATATAAAAGCCATCGCGCAACGTACAGGAGTGGAATAATCGCAGCGCTCTCCCATGTGCATGCTCTGCTGTCGTCCCTCCCGTTCTTTTTGTTTTGTTGGTTTTGATATATATTTTTTTCTTTTTTTGTTTGGTTGTTGATTTTTTTTTCTTGTGTTTTTTAGGGAGTTGGGGAAAACTCCGGGACACGAAGAGACTGGGTAAGAAGAAGGACAGAGGTTGCAGCTCCACGCAAGCTCCAGACTCAGACTGAGAGAGTGGGTTTGGTTACGGCGGAGCGGGGCATAGTCCCATTGGTTTGCGACGATCTGAACGGGCGTGACTCCAGCAGACCTAAGCCCAGCCCACTTCTAAAAACCGAGGTAATTCAATTATAGAAAGGTGGAGCTGGAAGGGGGCAGAGTAGCGAGGTGCCCAGGACAGGGAGCGCTTTTTACATTCTCCACTGACAGATCCGGCAGATAAGCTGCGCTCGGTGCTATTTAATTACATGCAAACGGCCGCAGTGTTAAAAAAAAAAAGAACAGAAAAGAAATAAAAGAAAGTGAATAAAGACAAAGAGCAAGTATCTTCTACTATTTCATAAAAAACGGCACATCTAAAGAAAAAGAAATGAAAAATTAGCAAATATTACACATTTTAACTATTTCAAACTGAAGTTAAATGTAACTAAAAATCCTCTGACTTCACATTTTTATCCCCTTTTCTGCTCGTTCAAAATAGTTTTTAATTTCTTGACATAAAGATCTCACTAAAACTGTTCATATACCATTTATTATTTTTTTTCTTTTTGAATTAAACAACCTTTATTCTTCATTTTGTTCTACCATTTGTTTTACTAAATCATATAAGATTGTGCAGTTTTCTATTATTATTTCCATCTCATATTTTTCTATATATTACATGCGTATTGAGACAAAACAAGCATAAAAACAAAATTCCCCACACTTACTCAAGTGTTCTCTCTGTTAAAAGCAAGAAAAGAAAGTTAAGGTATTTATAATTACTAAACATACATTATTTTAAGTATAACTTCATCTATAATTTTTTTTATGTGTTTTTGTCATTTATGTTTATAGTTTTTGCTCCAGTGGTGTTTACACATTTAAAGTTTCATACACAACCTTTCCTTGTTTCTTCTTTTTTTTCTGTGGGCAAAACTAAATAAATATGATCATTAATTTTTAATCTCAAAAGAGTATGTAAGCCTGGTCTTAACTCTCTGCATAAAGGAAATGCCAGAATGTGCATCAAGTCCATCTGTGCAAAACAAAGAAAAAAAAGATGAGTGGTTGTTTACGAAAGCTCCATGCACATGTATCAGAACAGCTCCCTGTTCTGATTCAAGGAGAATGACGAGTTCCAGTGCCCTGAAAGCCCCGTGGCTCTGAATCACCGATTCAGCCTAGGAAAAAAAAGCAAGCTGTAGATGCCCGTGGTTGAAATACTCACAGAAAACTGTACAGCAGGGGCAGAGACATTATAATGTTTGCCGAGGCCAAAAGCAGAATTTGGTGTTGGGGCCCGTTTTTTAACTAAGGCTGGCTATTAGACTTGTGGTTGAAGAAGTTAATTGTGGAAGTAAAAATTTTAATCCGAGTCCAGATTTAACCAGTTTAGCATCAGACATGTTCATTTTGCTTTAAACTGTGCTTGTACAAGGCTGGTGCAGGCAGTGCAACAGTTGTCCAGCTAAATATTTACATACCACATTTTGTAATACATTTTTAAAGGTTTTGTGATCTTGATAAATGCTTTAGAAGTATTCAATTCTAACTGTATAAAAAACCAAGAGCTATTAATATTATTTTTTTGTAAGACCAATCAGTTTAATTATTTTTAAAAAATGTAATGAAGTTGTGTATAAAACTAAAAACATGTTCAAAGTTGTGTGCTCAGACATGTCAGGAGGGAATTTGGAAATAGGCTTAATCTTAGTAAACTTGACTATAATTTCAAACTATTTTCAGTGTAAAAATGTAGGTATTGTAATGGTTCTCATTTTAATGCAAGTTCCAAAGAAAAAAAAAGTAAACTCTCATATTTATGTAAACAAACTGAAGTTAGTCAGTCACTAAAAGTAGGCCATATATTCACATTTTCCATCAGAAATGTCAACATTTATCTTCTAACTGAGAAAGAAACCATGATTGAATTCAGTTAATTTGTGTAGTGCTAAATTATAACCAATCTTCTTCATCTTAGGATATTTCACAAATAAGTCAGATTCTTATGCAGTTATGTAAAAAAAAACAAGCTTATTTCAATTTCAGTTTACTCCATTCCACTCAAACAATTTGTGTAAATTGAATATGATATAAATTTATGTCAGTCACATCGTTTTAGTTTATTTTTACACCAGGTAATAACAGAAGATATATAGAACTCACAAGAGAGTCCTGTAAATTGTTTTTTGCATCATTGCATTCCTTCTTGTAATATCTAGGAAATTAGAGACTGCTGCATCTAAATGTCGGCTGTGTCTTCAGTGCGACAGGTGCTGTTGGCCATCAAGGGAGCAGAAAAGGAGAAAAAAACAAGAGAAGGAGGAGGAGGAGGCTAACAGGGCAGTTAATATTTTAAGATAATCCTCTTGACCTGTTCTCTTCCTCTTATGTAAACTCACTGCTGTTCGCTTGTAACTATTGCCGCACACACTGACAGAAGGGGCACTCTTCTGCAACCAGACATAAATATAATCATCGCACCACACAAACTCCCAGAAGTGTCCCTTTTTTTCCTCTGTTTTTGCAGAAAATATATTTAAGAGAAAACTACATCAGCTACCAGACGAGAAGGGATGGGAAGGTCAGCCCAGAGGTCAGTGGACATGGTTGTTTTCACACCCACTTTACAGCCGTGTCTGCATTCCTGTTCTGGTGAGTCTCATCTCTGTCTCACATGCAATAAGTTGATAACAGACATGTTTAACTCACTAAACCCTCAGAAAACACCCCCAGCTGCTTTCATTTTCTCCAAATCATCCTCATCCTTTTCTTCATCTACTGTCAAAGTGAGCGACGGTAATAACATTGTTTCTCTTTTTCCACTTATTCCAGCAGAGTGATGCAAAGATCTTTTTAATATTTAAAAAATAAAAATTCTGTTTGACTATTGAGAAGAAGGACAGAATGACGATACCTTTATTATAACAGTTCCCAAATAAATTTGTTTTTCATCACTTTTTCCTCTTCTGTTACTGTGTGCTTTTTTATTAGTCTCAATAAATAGTTAAAGTAACACTTGATGGGCACAATCACTTCTTATTCCCTATGGAAGACATTTACCTAGGAGGATTTATATCCCAATTCAATTTGAGTCAAGATTTTTGGTAATGTCTTTTTGATAAAGGATAACAGTGTCATATTGGGAGGATTTGATTCTAGCCCATATGCAGAACACAACACTAGGATACGGTGGGTGAAAATATAGTGAATTTATTTGAGAAAGAAACGGAACACAGTGGCAGGGAATGAAAACTCTGGTCTGGTCCACGGGAAGGGAAGGATCAGGAAGCGATCGGCTCACTAGGAGTACAGAGCAGGAAAGGTGAGTTCGAAGGCTGTGGGAAAGTGGAGTGTCGATAACACTGGACAGATCTTACTTGAGCAGCGCAGTGAAAAGCTAGCGGCGGGTGGCTGCTGGGTCCAGGGTCCGGTCTCTCTGGGGGTTTGGGTGGGGCGTGTGCGCGCTGGAGGGCAGACAGGTAGGCTCGGGATCCGCGAGGAGCGAGAAACGGCGCGTCTTCCAGTCGAGGAAATCCAAGGGGAGACTGCGGAGAGGTGAGTAGACAAAGGAATCACTGACGGCTCAGACAGCGAGAAAAACACAGAGTACAAACTCGAGGTAGCTAGGAGGTACCAAAACTGGGCAACACTCAGGCGCCGAAGGACTGGTAGACCGCTCCTCAAAACCTGTCGCTGATGAGCTAATCCGAGGCCGGTGTGGGAGATGACGTCATCCACGCCCTCCGTCAAACTGATGGTGCCATCTGGTGAGGAAACAAAGGTGGTGCATGCACCCAAAACCCCTACAGCGAGAACCTAACAACCCTGGATCCTGACAGTACCCCCCCCCTAATGGCCGCCACCTGGCGGCCTAGACGAGCTGGAAGGAAGCGACGCACGATAATTCGAGACAAGTGACGGGTCCAATATAAATGAACCCGGAACCCAAGAACGGTCCTCTGGACTGTAGCCCTCCCAGTCAACAAGATATTGCCAACCCCGACCTCGTCGACGGGAGTCCACGATCCGGCGGACGGAATAGGCGGGATGACCAGCAATGTCACGGGGAGGCGGAGGGGGTTCGGCTGGAGGGCAGAGCGGGCTGGTCCGGACGGGCTTTATCCGAGAGACGTGGAAGGTGGGATGACGCGGAGGGAAGTGGGTAGACGGAGGCGAACAGCGGATGGGTTGATTATCGTTTCAATTTCAAAAGGGCCAATGTAACGGGGAGAGAGCTTCTTAGACACAGATTTGAGCGGGATGTCCTGGGACGACAACCAGACTTGTTGACCGGGTGAGTAAACAGGGGCAGGACGCCTCTTACGATCCGCCTGCCGCTTGATTTGTTCTGTGGTGAGGTTAAGATTGTGGATGGTGGAATTCCAAACCTTGTGGCAGCGACGGATGTGGTGACGGACAGAAGTGACTGAGATGTCTTCCTCATCGGACGGCAACAGGGGTGGTTGGTAGCCAATGGATGCTTCGAATGGCGATAAGCCTGTGGAGGATGAGACGTGATAATTGTGAGCATACTCTACCCAAGGAAGATACTGGAACCAGTCGGAAGGATTGGAGGATGTGAAACAGCGGAGAGTGGCTTCAAGGTCCTGATTGAGGCGTTCAGTCTGCCCATTGGACTGGGGATGAAAACCTGAAGTTAGTGAAACCTTAGCATTTAATGCTGAACAAAAATTGCGCCAAACCTGAGAGGTGAATTGTGGACCTCTGTCTGACAGTATGTCCACCGGGATGCCATGAAGCCGG